AAATTTTACATAATTTATCTAAAAATATATTAAAATTTTACATTAACATTTAACTAAATAAGCTATGAACATTTTAATAGATGAACCATTTTACTCCTACCAAAATGTATAAAGATGACTTTATTATAAATGAATGCATTTACTTTAAAATGTGTATAAATAATTTAAAATTTTATATACAATTAAACAAAAATCAAAATTATATATATTATATAAATTATAAATTAAACAGTTCATAATTGTATTTCTCGGTTAGGTTAGTGTCAATTTGTAATTTTACATTTGATATTTTATTTCTCTAGGTTAGTGAAATAGGAGAAGTAACACATCAATGGGAAATGAAGAGTCGTAGCATATTTGTATGTGCATGTGCATGCATATGCACATTTGTTGTACAAAAATAAAACAACATCAATGAGAAATGACTCGAGAGAACGAAATCGCGTTTGTGTTGAAACATCAATGAAAGGAATGAGAAATGTCAATATGAACGATTCTTGCAGTATCCATGTAACTTCACCATGGATAAGACTACAAGAGCCCGAGCTTGAAACCCGAAACGTCAATTACAGGAATGAAGAAAAGAAGCCGAGCAAAAACCTAGAAATCAACTCCATCAACGTTCCTTTCACCTCGAAGGTGACTGTCCACATATCTAGTGTTCAGGTCCTAGGATACCTTTCTCCTAGGCAAAAAATGTGGGATTTAAACATACTGGTCGTTGGTTGTTTCAGAAAAGATTGCAGGATCGGCGACTAATCGTCATCCCTTTCACCCCGAACATTGCTCGAATATACCGAAAATAAAAAAAATACTCATGATATACATGCTATTAAAAGAGTTTATGGCCATTAACTTTGTCATGAAACTCAAAGTGTATACATCATTAGGTTTATGAAAATAGTTGTTCACAACAAAACATTTACAAACCTCAACAGTTGGTTTGAAGTTTCATTACATAACGAGGTATACGCATTTTACATGTCTTCGAAGTGGGAAGCAATAAAAACAATGACACAATTGATCACATATGACGGTTTCTCACAGCAAAATATTTACATACCTCGAATAACACCCGTTGCGACAGTGATTTCTCGATCTTTCATCTAGTTCCAAAGCAATGTGTCCCATGTTACGTTTGTGGACGGATTCACCCTAACTCACAAAACGCCGTTTCAATAATTGGAGAAATGTAGAACATTTTTTAAAGCAGTTGTTATAGCTAGCTATCTTACCCATTTGCAACTTTGTAAAGATATTCACGTTGATCATCTCGCAATGGTACATCTGTGAAATCTGATCATAAGAAGACAACAAAATAAATTGACCGACTACGCAGTAATGAGATTCGCGGGCAAATTATGCACAGTGCATCAATATTCAGCAGATGGAGAGTTGAGTAAACTGGAGTTTATACATACCAACACCTGTTATATTTGATCCTTTGAAAGATGTGTTTCCCGTTGTAGTTGCGCCTTCCAAGTTCGCGTTGCTTAAATTTGCCTGCAGGTAGGAACGATTGGAGATTCGACGAAGATATCATCCGATAAAACAATGAATTATCCGTCCTAAGATCAGCTTCGGAAAGGTCGGCTCCTGCATCGTTTCGGTTAATCAAAAACTATTTAAAACACAAGCAGGGACAAAGATCAAAATATTCGAGTGTTCGCCTAAAGTTGCCTGCATGCACTTATCTGAACTATTTACTAGCTGCAACTCGAAAAAAAGGTCGATGCCTATTATGTAAGCATATATGAGCATAAAACCGATACGAATCAAGGTCTTTTAACCAGTGAGGCCAACTTAACCACATTACATTACTTTACTAGCCCTTTAATGACCTCAACCTATATGACAATCATATGTTTGAAAACCCCAAACCATTACCGGACCTTACAAACAAGCTCGAAAATTGAAATTAGTCTCGTCGAATACTTTTTTCGAGACAACAAAAAGGAGGGACTTTTGAAGGTCTTTAATGAAAAATGTTCGAATTTAGTTAGTTTACATAGAATAGTTAGGAGAAAACCTGTCAAATCGGCATCGAAGAAGCTAGCATCGAGCAATTTCGTGCCTTTGAAATTGCCTAATTTGTGTGTTTTGTGCTTCTTTCTTTAATTTCTTTAAAGAACATGTGCTAAAAGCACTTACCCTAGAGAAGCAATGTCCCATATTTTAAAATTTTGTGGAAATACTAACTGCAGCAATCGATAAGACCCTGGAAAGACATCAAAGTCAAGAAACCACAGACTAAGTCCATGGCAAATAACAATTTGATAAGCAATTTATAGGCAAATAACAATTTGATAATTAATTTATAGACAAAAATCAATCAATCTTAAAACAAGTTTAGATAAAATCCGTTCTACTTCCACTTTCACACCTACAATAAACTAAAAAGGCATGTATTTATATTTCTGAACAAATTACAGTCCATTATAATTTCCAAACCTAGAAATTACAAGTACACAAAACCATATCATGTTGTTTGCTTTCTCATATCTTTTCCATAAATCAAAAAGAAAAATCTCCAAAAATGAAATTCCCATTGGATTGAACAAATAATCAAAATGCAACAGAAATTCCAATATAACTTTTGACTTTTCACTTGAATTATCAGAATTTTAATCTTTTAGTTCTTTTTTTCTTTTAACATAAACCAAGAAAGGAAAGAGACAAGTAAAAGAGTAATCTGAAAGTACGCCATAAAGGGAAACAGATAGAGAAAGCCAGATGGAACGCAAGCTAAGAAAATTAATTATACATATATAAAAAAGAATGCATCGATTAGCAACTCAGAACAAAGCGACGGTAAATTCACTTGTAAAAATTAAGGGTAGATTTTCCGAACAGATTATGACCAACAATAACTAATGCAAAATTGCCAGTTTTAAGGGATCATTGGGTATAGATCAATTCACCTGTCAAATTTGGCTTGTCGAAGTATGGATTGAAATTGAAGAAAAAGGAAGATCAAATGAGATTTAAATCATTGAGATTAACTAAGGCAAATACCATAGACATATCAATTAACTGAAAAAACAGAACAGTATTGTCTTGAAATCTTCCTTGATCAATGGCTTTGCAAAGGGAGCGAGAGCTAAATTCTTCTTCCTGTCCTCCTTCCGTTGCGATCAGCCGGCAACCATTGATGATTGCGAACCGAGAGTGCACAGTTGGAGGCTAGAGTTGTGGAGCGAGAGGAAGGAATGAACATTTTACGATTTTAGGGATTTCAATTTGGGAATCCCAATTTTGAGAACACAAATAACCAAGAAAATGTGAAAATAAAATTCAATATAAGCAAATACCTAAGCCAAATCGAAGACGAGAAGAAGAAGAAGAAGATTCAACAGTGGGGAGAAGGCTATTTAGACAAAAAATGACAGGAATAAATAAATACCTAAGGGAGACGAGGGAGTAATATTCGCGGAAAACAGTGTAGAAAATCACTATTGGTATTAGTTTTTACTGGCCCTGGGTAATATTATCCATCCAAATATGGGTATATTCAGCTGAGAAAAACATTCCTCCTAGGAATGAAATATACCGTGAACCAAACGGGACCTTAAAGTAAAAGAAAACGTGAATAAATTTGGTGTATTGTTCAACAGGTTCATTTAAATTATGTAGAATAAATAAAGTATATAAATCATCGTCTGATTATAAAGTATTATTTTATTAAATATTTCGATTATTAAAAGTTATAAAATTATCTTTTGACTATATAATAATGTTTTGTTAAGTCCTTAACTATGAAAGTTATAAAATTGTCATTTGATTATTCATTATGTTCTAAACTCGTCATTTTCGTAAAAATGAGCAGTTGTTTAAGCTAAAAGTTAACATAATAATTGAGATATGATAGCCTTTTGAGATTATATGATCATATTTTACCATATCATAGTCAAGGGAATAATCGGATGAGTTTGGAGCATAATAAATAATTGAATGACCATTTTGTAACTTTTAATAATCAAACGAATCAACAGAGAAACACTCTATAGTCGGATGATCATTTTATATTTTTTAACAATTAAAGGACTTAATAAAGAAGTATCCTATAGTCGAATGATCATTTATCTACTAAAAATTAGCTGACCATATTTCCATTTCCATATGTAATGGGATAAGAGGAGGTAGGGTAGTAGGCTGCCCCCAACGCTAGGTTGAGAAGACCTCCGGCAGTCAGAATTATGAATTACCCACCATGAGATTCGATCCCACTACCACAAGGTTAAGAGCCTTGCGCTCTACCAACTGAGCTGGGCGGGCAATTCATTTATCTACTCTAGCCTCATATTTAAGGTGAGTTGAATTGAATTTAATTACAATTAATTTTAATTGATCGTTTTTATAATTTATTTTTTGAATTATTTTACAAATTCGTCCTCTAAAATCTTATAAAATCAACTTCGACCCTCCTAACATAAAATCTTATGTACATCCCAACCGCTACAACCTCACTGATAGTAATTCCATGCTGTCCTGATATCACTTGTATAATTGTATTAAACACTTCTAAACAATCTATTTCGATCTCAATATATTTAGATAGTTTATAGATATTGTATCAAAATAATTATACAATATCAACACATGGATAAGAATTATATTATTTTATATCTATCATAAATAATCAAAATATTTTAACACAAAACTAAACGATCTCAGTGATAAAAGAATTATTGATATTTTTTAAAGTCACGAATTTAAACATAAAAAAATATCAAAGGTTCGAATATTAAATCTTAAAATATTTATATTATTTAGCATACCTCGGCCATGATGGCTAACTCAACAAATTTAATATACTACAAACATGCATCGGAAGGGAAAACCTAAATTCTCTTCTTAACAAGTCTACAAACCGACCACTCGTCACCCTTATTTAACCCTAGTTTAAGATCATGGTTCAGACAAGAGAACCCAATTTTGGCTAATAAGATGCCTGGCTAGCTATCAAGGTACTTGATCGGCACAAGGAGAAAAGGTGCTTTCTAGAGGGTAAGGCACTGACCAGTCTGTTCTTCCATGTTAACATCCGTTTCTTTTGTCCCATCCGGCAAATCCCAATCGAAACAATACAAGAGATTTGCGAGCAAATGCTCCGATGTAACGGTTCCCATGTACACCCCCGGACACCCTCTTCCGCCACCTCCAAATGGCAATAACTCAAAGCGCTTGGAATCCATGGAATCATTGAGAAACCTGTCCGGGGAGAACTCTTCTGGGTTTTTCCAGTACTTTGGGTCCCTTCCGATGGCCCAAGCATTGACTTGGATGAGTGTTTTGGGATATATGTTGAAGCCGTTGATTTTGAAGTGTGAAATTGATTCTCTTGGAAGCAGCAACGGCACCGGAGGATGCAATCTTAGAGTTTCTTTGATGATCAGCTTAACGTAATGAAGTTGATCGACATCGGTTTCCGGTACTCTTCCTTTCTTCTTCCCCACGATCATTCGGACTTCAGCTTGTGCTTTCTTCATCAATGGTGGTTTTCTCATAAGATCCGCCATTGCCCATATTACAGTAAGCGCGCTGGTGTCGATGCCGCCCAAGAACATGTTCTGTTTGATACTTGAACTGAGATTATTTCAAGACTTTAATGGAATTAAAATGGTAATTTTGTGGGAAATAACTTACCAAGAGAACTGCTTTGATGTGATTTTTAGTGATCCAAGCATGGCCGTGTTCCTCGATTTGTTTCTTTTGAATTCCGAGCATCACGTCGATAATGTCGTCACCATGCTTTGTTCTTCCAGGTTTACGATGATCATCGATCAACTGTTGAAACAGCGAATCCAACTTACGGAAAACTCTGTCCACTCTTCCTTTATGACCACTTATCCAGTCCATAATCCAGCCGAATCCCGGGAAGCATTTGTCGTAGCAAAAAGGTCCGGCCACCGTCTCGGCGTCGTTAATCAATTCGTAGAACTTACCACGATCAAACTCGCTTCCACGGAACGACTTGCCGTAAGCTGTTCTGAACATTATGCTCCCGGAAAAGGCAAACACCTTCTCAGTCCAATTCACCGGATCATTCGGCGACAATGATGCCGACCGAGAGATAAAATCCATTAACGACCCGACTTCGTCTTCTCTCACGAACCGGAAAAAGACTTCTCTCTTTTGACACAAAAATCCGAGAACACATAGTTTCCGGAGCTCTCTCCAGTACTCATTGTATGGCGAAAACGCTACGTCTATATAATTGTACGAAAGTTTTCCGACACCGGTTAACTTAGGCCAACTGCAACAAGCGAGATCATTGGCCTTCAACACTTCGTTCGCGGCATCCGCCGATTAAACGATAAGAACCGGTATACGACCGAGATGAAGGAGCATGACCGGACCATATTTGCTAGCAAGTTGGAGTAGAGAACTGTGCGGCAGTGCACCGAGCTGGTGCAAGTTACCGATAACCGGCACCTTTGGTGGGCTCGGAGGGAGACTACTTGTGCTCTTTTTTAACTCGATCGGTCTTCCTCTTGAACAGTAGCATTAGGGGAAGGAGGAGAGGAAATGGAAGCCAAACAAGTGAAGTATACAAACCCATTATTGGTTTAGTTTTGAGGTTCCTCCGCCGTTCTTTAGCTGATATAGCATAGTTTTTTAAATTATTAATATAGAATAAGATAATACAAAGACAATTCTTAATCCTTTGATATTAAACGGTCATATCTTTGATAATTGAATTCGGACATCAAAAAATAATAATAATTCTTTTATTATCAAAACCAATTATCAATCGATGTAAATAATGTAATGAATACGACTGTTTAGTATGTGTTTATATACTTTTAAAGTTCGCACTTATAGTCTTCTATGGTATTGACGTAATTTTTGAAAGAGTTTAACATAATCGATTTATATGAGAAAAAAAATTGAAAAGAAGACTCTCTCTCTTATTTTCTCTCTTGTGTTGTATGTTTTACTATCTTTTTTTATAAAGAATTATCAGGTTACGATTGGTCTTGTATTGACTATGATTTTCTGTTTAAATCAAAAGAGGTGGAGTGGTAATTTTTGAGGTAATTCATTTGTTTCTATCGACATATATTCATATTTATAATTAGACGTACGATTTTATATTATGAATATAAATCATAAAATTTTAGAATATAAATTTAATTATTAATAAAATATATATCTAATTTATGTGAGAATTTAAAATTTTTAAAAGTAAGATGACCTTAAACCAACTTCGATCCTTCTACATCCATGAAGATAAAGTCGTTAATTTCTCTTAAGCTTGGTTTGAGGTTGAAGATAAAAAGATTAAGGATGGAGTATTCCGTTGTTTAGTTGAAATATTGACGATTGTTTAAGTTGGGTGTTAACAAGATGAGTGAGATATTATAGTCATTTGAGATTTCAGGATCAAAGTTTATTATATCACATTTAACAATTTAACATTCAATTCAGAATATCATCCATTTTTTAACAGAAAATGACGAGTCTAAAACATAATTAATAATCGGATGATCATTTTATAATTTTTAATAATCAATAAACTTAATAAAATAATACCTTATAATCAGAATGATTTGTATATTTTATCCTTAAATTTTGCTTCACCTCTAAAAGCAACTATAGTTGAGGAGAGGGAGGGTTAAACAGTTTATGAAAAGACCAGTTTACCCTTAGCAGATGAAGGTATTTTCAGTTGTGTTTTCCTCAGCAACTTGATCTGAACACTTCACAAGTAAACTCTGAAGGAACTTTCTTTTTCTCTCCTATCGAGTTGTTTGCATCCATCCACCACCCGCGTAAATCTGAGTCGAAGAAGCCGAAGCAGAGCTTTCGAAAAAGCTGGCTTAGACTCTGAAGCCGCTCATGGTTGAGCTAAGACACTCGAGCAGCTCGCTCGGGAGCCGAGCCGCTTCTTCTCCGGTGAAACGCGACAATGACGCCTCTCCTCTGATCCACGATCACTTCTCTCCGCACGCCGAGGATCACCCTCGCCATTCTTCAAGAGATCGTGACCGTTCGTTTTGGTGGCAAATCCACTCTTTTTTCTATTCCTTTAAGGATGATCCTAGGTTTTCTCAACGCGGCTCCAGGATCTCTCTTTTCGTGCTCATTCTTGTCGCTATTGTCGGATTGATCTCCATTTTCTCGATCTTGCATCGATTAGTAAGAGAGCGGTTCACTTTTTTTTATTAAATAGTTGAATTTACTCGCTATTCTCTCTCTCTCTCTCTTCTTGTTGCGTGCAATCAGATTTTGAATAATTCTTATTTTTTTAGTAATGATATTACTAATATTCGGGAAAAAAGATATTTGATTGTCGTGAGCTAGCAGAGTAAGCTATACTAAAATTTAGCTTATTGAAGTTTGCTTAATGGAAATTGAGTTTGGTATTTAGTTAGTGTTACTAATGCTAACATATGTGCGTTAATTTATGGTAGAATTCCCCGTATTTATGCAAAAAGGATGGCATTGTTCTGCACTGTCCGCGTGTAAGTTCCCGATGAACTTTGTTCTTTTGATCTCATTTTTAATACTTCCTGTATTATTGCTGGCTTCTGCCATTTGTGATTGATGTTTTCTGCTTTCAAGGCTAAGGAGAAGCCTTCACTTTGGGAAAATCCTTTCTCTGCAACTACTTCATGGAAGCCATGTGCTGAGCGCCGTGAAGGTGGAATATCAGGTATTGTAGTGTAGCTTCCTCTTTTTAGGGCTATGATGCTATGTTTTTGACCGTCTCAGATTTGTGAAAGTGAAACACATTTATGGCATGTTTGAGAGAATGTATTTGGAATCCTGAATTTGGATTTCATTTACTGTATAAATTGTGATAATGAAATGCATACATCGCATTGCCTATAAATTAGTTGTAAATCAATATGATTACATATTTAAAAGAAATGAAGCATGGATTTCTAATCCACACGCATCTTTAGATATTTTAAATTTATCATTAAATCGACATTTAACTTATCCATAAGTTTGAAAAATTATAGCAAGTGCTACTGTTTCATTTGTTTTTATTGCACAATTTTCACTACTTCTGAAATCCTAATCCAAAATTTAGAGCTGCAACGCAACCTTAAGAAATTGTTTTTACTTGAAAATGTGTCCCGACTTTTGTTAGCAGGAGATTTTGGTATCATAAAGCTTACTTCTACAATTTGTATATATACTCTCAAGACGGAGAACTGCTAAGTTTTAGGTTATGTTCATGGAGGACTAGATCGCTCCAAACTTCTTCAGACTGGTTAACTGTTAAATTCTTGATATTTGTTATCAAGTTGTTTTGTTTTTTTCTTCATATTATCACATCTAATAGTGCGATGTCATTGGATTGGATAAAAAATCCAGCTAGCACGACTCCGATGTTTCTATCCTTTGTTAAAGATATTGTGATTAAAAAGGGGTTATTGTTCGTCATGTGGCGAGAGTAGCTAACTGTGAAGCGGATAATCTAGCCAAACTTGGGATTGGTTAAATTGTGGGGAGTAAATTCGGTTGTTGTTTTTGTATTATTGGTTTTAGCAGGCAGCTTTGGGTATGGAATATGTTAGTACCTCGTTGTGTAATCTAGGAGGTCTTTTTTGTGTAGGGTATTAACATATGTATGTAGGTAGTGTTGTTCTCGCACAGTGATAAGAGGCTGCCATAGGTTTCTTTTTGTTGGTAATGTGTTCTTATTGTACTTGGTTATTATGCAATAAAATTTCTAAGTCACTCTTTTCCTCCTTCCAATGTCCTTTGAGTCTATGTTGCTCGACGGATATGAAGGGGGATTTTAATGAGGCCTTCCTTTCTATCAAAAAAAAAATATTATCACATCTAAGGTTAATCACTATTTTAAATTTTCTCCAGAGCTTCCTCCCGAGAATGAAACAAGCGGTTATCTATTCATTCATGCTGAGGGTGGTCTAAATCAGCAAAGAATTGCGGTATGGATTCTTTTCTTCTAGTTGCAATCTGATCGACTGTTTTTCTTACCCTTTTACCGTTTTTATCTTATGGAGTTCGAAAAGGATAGTAATACTTGTAGTTGGTGTCAGTTGTGTGAATACTTAAGAAAAATGCTCGTCTGACCTTGCAATTTAAAATCATTATAGTCTCAATCACATTACAAGTCTTTCTGAAGTGATTGAGTTATTAAATTACTGATACTTAATAGTTAGCATCACATGTGCATTATTGTGGTATGCAAAGGCTTGTGAGATTTGATGCTGTCCGAGGTTTACCCAAGTTAGGGGAAGTCATCACTAATCTGTGTGATGAGTGTTATGTTTGTGCCTAAGTTAGAATTGGTAAATAAAGTGCTTCCGTAAAGAACTTTGGCATCTTGCATTTGTCATGATTTCTTGATTTAATATGGTACTTTTGCTGCTTGGTTCTATTCTAGTTTTATCATTTCCAAATGCCTTTTGGTTGTATTTAAACTGGAAGTTTGTTGAATGTTTTGGTATTTTTATGCCCAACAACAAAATTATGGACTTATTGTACAATTCCATGCAGATATGTAATGCAGTGGCTGTGGCCAAAATTCTGAATGCCACTCTCATCTTGCCAGTGCTGAAGCAGGACCAGATTTGGAAAGACCAAACGTGAGAGATATTGTCCATTAACCACACACATATTGATATTGTTTATATTGTGAATGTAAATCATTGGAACCTAAGTATTGATATATGACTAGAGAAGGCAAGAAACGATAAGCTACTGAGATTATTGATTTAGCCAAATGGTTTTGTATAATCATTACTCTTGGCTTCACAAAGTTTATGCATCGAAGTTATGACGCAGAAAAGATTATTTTTCTTCAGACAATGAAGTTTAGAATTAAACTTTGTTTGAACTATAGTCACTTTGGTCTTATTTTCAGTGATTTTAGAAGCTTCAGTGATGCCTAATATCTGCGAGAATGATTTAGCATGTGTTAATGTTGACATTCTTATTAATTAACATTTGAAGTGTCTAGGCACATTGTAATTGTTCCTTTATTCAAGTTACTTGAGGTTGGCTACTCGGCTTATAACCTTGACAAGCTGTTAAGATACATATGCAAATGGCAATACCTCAAGATTAAATAATATTCTTGGAATCTTGCCTTGAACTTAGATTTTAAGTTCTAAGCTAACTGTAGTTTGCTGAGGATTTGCAGTTTTTCCCACTCCTCTCATGGACCTAAGTAAATCACTTTATTACATTGCTTACTTATCTAACTGCAGCAACTCTGTTCCATTCTTTCGGTTGTAATGTATTTGTAAAATCATGTGCAGTAAATTTGAAGACATTTTTGATGTTGATCATTTCATTGACTACTTAAAGGATGACGTGCGAATTGTTCGTGACATACCTGAGTGGTTTACTGACAAATCAGAATTGTTTACCAGCATAAGGTGATTTTTCATTATTTTTCTGCCTCTGATAGATTTGCAATTTTAATCAGTTGAATTGCAACAGCCAATTTAGAAGTTTTTTTGCTTCTATGAATTTCCTTTCTTCAGACAATGAAGTTTAGAATTAACTTTGTTTGAACTATAGTCACTTTGGTCTTATTTCAGTGATTTTAGAAGCTTCAGTGATGCCTATATCTGCGAGAATGATTTAGCATGTGTTAATGTTGACATTCTTATTAATTAACATTTGAAGTGTCTAGGCACATTGTAATTGTTCCTTTATTCAAGTTACTTGAGGTTGGCTACTCGGCTTATAACCTTGACAAGCTGTTAAGATACATATGCAAATGGCAATACCTCAAGATTAAATAATATTCTTGGAATCTTGCCTTGAACTTAGATTTTAAGTTCTAAGCTAACTGTAGTTTGCTGAGGATTTGCAGTTTTTCCCACTCCTCTCATGGACCTAAGTAAATCACTTTATTACATTGCTTACTTATCTAACTGCAGCAACTCTGTTCCATTCTTTCGGTTGTAATGTATTTGTAAAATCATGTGCAGTAAATTTGAAGACATTTTTGATGTTGATCATTTCATTGACTACTTAAAGGATGACGTGCGAATTGTTCGTGACATACCTGAGTGGTTTTACTGACAAATCAGAATTGTTTACCAGCATAAGGTGATTTTTCATTATTTTTCTGCCTCTGATAGATTTGCAATTTTAATCAGTTGAATTGCAACAGCCAATTTAGAAGTTTTTTTGCTTCTATGAATTTCCTTCAATCATGACAGTATCATGATTTTCCTTGGGGTGTGCTTGGTTGAGTGGAAAGTGGATAGGAGGGAATGGAAAAGTGAAAAGACAATAAATTTTTAGTGTGCTTGGTAGGACAGAAAAGTAAGAGGAAAGAAAAGTAAGATGGATGGTCCTTTTCCATCCTCTTGTAAAACATTCATTCCTCTTTGGAAATTATAAGAGACAAAATGTGAGAGAGATATAAGTGGTTCAAAATTATGTATTTTCAAAAGTTGTCTTCTTTCCTTTCTTTTTTCAACTGTATCAACAAGAAATTACTTCTCTTTCAAATTTTCCATCTTTCCTACCAAGCACATCAATGAAAGAAAAAAAATCTTTACCTTTTTATTCCTTTATTTTTTCAATTCCAATTTTCTTTCCACTTAACCAAGCAAAGGTTAATATTGTGATTATGACTTCATTAGTGGCATGAAGTACTAGGAGAGTAGGAGACAAAAAGCTATAGTTGTTGGTGATGTGGGTCCTTTATGGACTTTGACCAACTAGTACTTCTTTCATGAGGAGTTTAAATAGTTACAGACATCATAACTGAAAATTTTATTTCATCGTTTTAGATTAATTGATAGGTTATATTAATATTTTATGTATTTTAATTTATTTTGGGGACCAGGGTTTCAAATCGCGGTCGTGGTCGCGTTTTCGGTTATTTTGGATTTACCGTGATTGCGGCCGTCGCGAGCGCTATTGCGGCCATCACGGACGCTATTGCGGCCGTCGCGGGTAACTCGGACGGCGGCGAAACCGCTATATCGCGGTCGCGGACCGTTTTTTAAAACCCTGTTGGGGACGTATTTTGCTCATGTCTCATCTCATATATGTTAGAGGCATCATTGACAGGCCTCCATCTTGCTACATGTATCATAGTTTGGTTTTAGCTTGTACCCATTCAATCATAGGCTTTATTGGATGATGATGTCCGTACTTTAAATATGACATGAGAAGCCGAAAATGAATAAAGCATCTTGATTGACATCTATTCCATCTTTTTTCCACTGGAATTGTTTACATGGAGATCTTTTGTTATGTGCAATAGACGGACAGTGAAGAACATTCCAAAATATGCTCCAGCACAATTTTACATCGACAATGTTCTGCCTCGGATCAAAGAGAAGAAGATAATGTCCCTAAAACCTTTTGTTGATAGACTTGGGTAAGCTATGGGTGTTTAGATATGTGTACTTTCAAAATTTCACTTTTCAGAAATGAAACTCTGGTTTGGTGTATTAATTCTCTTACACTCTTTAATTTCTTCCCCTATATCGTGGGTGTTGGTTCAGGTATGATAATGTCTCTCCAGAAATCAATAGGTTAAGATGCAGGGTCAATTATCATGCTCTTAAATTTCTTCCACAGATAGAGGAAATGTCAGATTTGTTGTTCTCTAGAATGAGGAACCGTTCGGGAAGTCCAAATCCTTACATGTATGTATTATTTTAGCTTTGATTCTACTAAAATGCAGAATTCATGCTTTTTTAAATCCAGAATAATTAATAGTCCATTTCATTCAGGGCTTTACATCTTAGGTTTGAGAAAGGGATGGTGGGCCTATCATTCTGTGATTTTGTTGGAACTAGGGAGGAGAAAGCTAGAATGGCAGAATACAGACAAAAAGAATGGCCTCGAAGATATAAGGTGATTTAGAACAACTTGCCTTCTCCGTTTGTTTGTTCTTTTTGAAGAACCAAGATTTGGCTATGCTTATCTCTGTAGTGATTGTGATGGCAGAATGGAACCCATCTCTGGCAGTTGGCTCTGCAGAAGAGGAAGGAAGGTAGGTGTCCTCTAGAACCTGGGGAAGTGGCAGTGATTCTTCGAGCAATGGGCTATCCAAAAGAAACACAGATTTATGTTGCTTCTGGCCAGGTTTATGGTGGTCAGAATCGGATGGCACCCTTAAGGAACATGTTCCCAAATCTGGTGCGTTCTTTTCCTAGTCTTTATTTTCTATGAACCTCTAAAATCTTCTTGACCGAAATCATTTTTCTATGTGGCATTTTGTATGTGCTACTGCCCTTAATTATATATATGGAAGCATTAGAGCTATACTCGTCCAAGCCTGTTAGTTAAACAAACAGGACTATATCAGGGACTGCAATGCAAGCAGTTGTTGACATGACATACTTGAACCGCAAACGGTTCCGTTCTATTTTCCTCTTCTTTTGCAAAGATGACAATTACAAGGCATTCAAACAGGTTACCAAGGAAGAGTTAGCAAGTAAGGAGGAGTTGGCTGTTTTCAGGAAGCATGTAACAAGCTTGGCAGCACTTGATTTCTTGGTGTGTCTGAAGTCTGATGTGTTCGTGATGACACATGGTGGCAACTTCGCCAAATTGATAATCGGAGCAAGAAGGTACATGGGTCATCAACAAAAATCCATAAAACCAGACAAGGGGCTTATGTCTAAATCTTTTGGGGATCCTTATATGGGCTGGGCAAATTTTGTCGAGGACGTGGTTGTCACCCACCAGACACGAACCGGATTGCCGGAAGAGACCTTCCCGAACTATGATCTCTGGGAGAACCCCCTGACACCTTGCATGTGTAAAGGCTGATAACAAAGGTATTTCTTTTCGGTTTCACTACATTTTTCAGGATCATCGCCGAGACGAAACTGCATATCTATCTGCATTTGGAATAAATGAAAATTCTTTTACTTACAAGGAAGGAAAAAAAACAATAAAATTGTTTTCCGGAAAAGAGGAGTGCCGACGGAGATGGTTGATTGGCCTAATCGTATCAGAACAGGGATTCGTTATTGACCTTGTAAGGGCTGCAGCTACCACCGGGACGCCCAGCATAGCAGTTTTGCATATAGCCTCCAAAACTAAAACTATTAGCAGATTGATTTTTGAACATATATTTTGCCCTTTCTTTTTATATATTGTCTTTAATTTGTACCTTCTAAGCATCAGGATTCAGGTGTAAAATATTATTGAAACTACCTAACTAGTTTCTGACCATCCACTTTACATATGTGATGATACACAAACAAATCCTCTAAGTTAATTTTTTTCTTTTAAGTTTATAATCTATTAAACGCCTTCAAGAAAATTAAAATTTACTATTTTGGTAGACTGATGGAATATTAAAATATAAAGACCAATTTAAGAACCTTATGTGCTGTTAATAAAAGTTGAGGCTGTTGTAGAAAGAAAACAGTGGAGTCAAATAAAGGTAAAGATAGTTGGTGAATGGTACAGCACAGCTACCCTCCATTAACCCGAAAGTCAAATAGTAACTCCACCTCGCGTTGCGTAAGCCCTACATAAAACCTACCTACACCAAAAAACTACACACATTCTTAAGACATTATTTTTAAAAGAAAACTCTAGAAATTAATTTTTTAACGATTTCCTAAACAAGATTTGTTAGAAAAATATTCTTCAAATTGAAAATGTAATATTATCTCACGTCCTAAGAAAAAAAATAGTGAAAGCCTTGCGTTACAAAAAGCGTTCATACATACTTTTCAAATAATACAATTTAACGTATATCGATGACCTCGTTACGTAACACATAAGATTTCTAAGATATCGGCAAATTATCATGTTCTAAAAAAGATTTGAAATTTGATTTGATTCCATAAACTCGTGCCGTATACAATGCGAGTTACCTTTGAGTTCCTGTGTAAGGTTGTCATCTAAACTGTTTCAGATGCCCCAATTGCTATATGTGCTTGATCATCATTCTGTATTTATTCTCCTTTGTTCCTTTCTTGCTCTGAGCTTTTGATTATATTTCCCACTTCATTATGTTCTTCATTTCTAACTTGAACTATGTTTTAGGCAAGAAACAGAGGAGGAAAAGATAATGAAAGAAGAAATATATCATCTAAAGAAGGAGATTGAGAACGTTTCAACACCAAATTCAGAATCTGCCGGAAGTGCCCAATCCACTTTGCGTGATACGCTGCATAACAAGGAAAGGGGACTACAGATACTTATCCATGATTTGGAGAACAAAGTTAGAATTGGGCAGATTGTCGAAAGGCCTAGTTCTGGAGCTGGCAGAATTGGCTGCTTCCCTGATAGAGCACATTCACAGTCTGGGTCTAGTGATGACTCTAGGAGTGTAGAGTTCATGGATAGGCCTAGATCTCGTGATACTGCAAATTCATGGTCAAGGCTCGGTGATGATCGAAGAGGATTTCATAGAGAATTTCAAGGTGGCAGGGATAGAGGATTTCTGGGGAACGGAGATTTGAACGGATAAGGATGTAAAACATTACCAGTTCACTCTCATAATTGTCGGGAGGTCTTTCACGGAAGTTACTTTTAAATTAGTGTTAGGACAGTTTATTACCCTACCTCCTCCTTATCTCGTTATATAAGAATAGAGTTAATTTTTTATAATCCATTTGGATTGAGTGTCTTATTTATAATTTTTAAAATTTAATAATCCATTTATAATCTTATTAATAAATGAGTGACACGTACGATATTTTATCCTATTTATTTCCACGTTCGAGTAGTGGGTTTCTATGGGGTAACTTTGAGTATGGTGTTAATAACAATTTGTTAATGCAATAAGCTAGGGTTGCATGAAACCAATTTTTCGATTAAAAGAACAACTTGATTCTTTTAATCTTTTTATTTCCCTATTTGAATGTTTGTTTATTCAAATACTAACTAAAAACATCATCAAAGTCAGCTTGATATGAGTGAAATGGTATATAACCTCAATTAGGGATGGACATAGAATCTGAATCTGACGGGTTCTAACCCGATCTGATCCGATTCGATCGGACCAGATTTTTTTGAAAAAAAATGGGTTCGGATTTAGGGTGAAAAATATCCGACCTGAAAAAAATTATTATTTTTCTTTATATATTTAAGAATAATTACAATAATACCCTTTGATGTATTATTTTCTTTCCATTAAATCTCTATTTTTATAACAAAAACTGAAGTTTTTTAACGACAATGTATTAAAATTAAACTTTATATATGATTTTAGAAAAAATTAAAATTTTAAATATTAAAACTGATAATTTAGGTGTTAAATATTATAAAATTTCTAATCGGAATTGATACATTTACGTGACAGCACAAGTGAAAATAAGTATCTGATAAAGAACAGTATCAGATTTCACAAAGAACAGCATCAGATAAAGAGTTTAAAATATGCTTTAAGTTTTCCTATTTCCATGATTGTGTTTAACAATATTGGCATCTGCAGGACTTGACCAGCATGCCAAGGTATCTTGTCACATTTACTGTTGGCTATGATCAACGAAAGAATATTGATGCAGCAGTTAGAAAGGTATCATACTCATATTATATATCCAATCATATCTGTGTTTGTGAGTACGCCTGTGTATGAATGTGCATCCTTGTTCTCGTCTTCTTGGAGGCATTTATGGATGGTAGCAGGATGCTGAGATGGGGATGGAGGTTTTTCATGATTAAGCTATTGTTTGTTTCACATTGCAAGTTGTCTGACTGAAAATATTCTTCCAACAGTTTTCAGGGAACTTTACTATCCTTCTCTTTCATTATGACGGTCGAGCAACTGAATGGGATGAGTTTGAGTGGTCGAAACAGGCAATACAGGTGAGTGTTCGAAGGCAGACTAAGTGGCAAGTATTTGTAATTGGAATATGGATTTACAAATTCAAGCCCTGCTTTCACGTAATGACTGGTTGTTCCTTGTGATGCTTAAAAGTTTTAAAAGAGTCAACTCTTGAGCTTTTGACTACCTAGGTGGTATGCCAAGAGGTTTCTGCACCCTGACATCGTGGTTCCCTATACATGTGAGATGTGACTGGTTATTGCTTTTCGTGTACAATGTCCAGAATGACTTGGTCCGTGGCTGGGGTCTTGATTTTGCCCTCAGAAAATGTGTAGAGGTCAGCATCCCTGTTTTCTTCCCAAACCTTTTAGCAAACAATTTCTTTGTTCAGTGACCGTTTACTAAAGCACGGATGTGTTTCTATAAAACCAGCCCGCCCATGAGAAGATAGGCGTCGTAGATGCCCAGTGGATTGTTCATCAGTCCGTCCCCTCTCTCGGGAACCAGGTAACGACAACTTTGATTTTCTCTTCATTATTATAAGTAGTTCTAAACTTTTGTTGTGCCTGAATGAAGCACTAACCATGCTTTGTCTTTTCGTAGGGAGAGTCGCAAGACGGGAAGGCTCCATGGAAAGGGGTATGCAAACTTTTGAATCTCAAATTTACAAAATACCAGATTTTAACAGTGATCGAACCAATAACCTTATAGAGGAACGTGTTGTTGTCTAGTGTGACCGGGATTTGATTTCTATGCAACTCCGTTGTCATTGCGCCATAACTCGATTAATAACAGCTTTGTTTATTGACATTGGCAGGTAAGGGAAAGATGTAGGAAGGAATGGAGCATATTTCAAGTGCGGTTTTCAGCAGCGGAGAGAGCTTACTTCAAGTCGATAAATTCAACATCTCGTTAGGACTGATAGCAAGCAAAACTCGAAAAACCTGACCTGTTCGCCGCATTATTCAGACTCAGAGCCACCCCTCACCGTCGCATCGGGAATTCCTCGGATCTGTCATGGTAACTAAGAGAGCTTTGATATTATTTTAGAACCGTGGTTCTTAAATTCCTCTAATTGCAGATTCAATATGTTAATTTTTAAAATTGCAATCAAATTCTTTATTCAATTAAATAAACACAAAATGTGAAAATTATGGTGTTGGGTGTAAGGCAAACCAAATGAAACAAGCAATCAAGGGGAACAAATGAAGGAATTCCATAGAACATGTATGAACAAATGGTCTCAAAACAAAACTTCCCAGCACAGGGAAATCACATGAACCCTAAACTAATGTGTAGAATCAATCTCAAGGGCAATACACGATGGCTCAGTGAATGAAATATCCCCCACCAAGTAAACCTCAGATCAAGGAATAAAGGGTTATATACAAACCGAGGCAGCTTGGTAAAGTGTTGCCGTCGTTAATAATTCAATCGAACCCTGGTAGGACCTCCGACTAGCATTTTCGAGTACAAGCATGAAGCTGTTCCAAGAGTTACCCTCTTTCTCTTACACAATTTCCAGGCAAAAGGAATTTATATTTATCTGCATTCTCGAGAAGAAACGATGGGAGATGAACAGCTGAATAGGAATGAGGGATCGGTCCCATTTTCCCGATTATTTCCTTGAATGTGTACTCCTCCGGGAGCATGTCGAATAGATCAGCACCCTTGCAGATTATTCTCTGGATCCTTTTCGGGTTCAAAAAGCGTGAGAACCTCACTCTATCGTTATGGCTGTAAGCTTTCATCTTAAATATGAACTCGCTGATGCGGCGGAAGCAAAAACTGCAATGCCCCCCTGCATCTGCCAGAATCTCATCGCTCTGGCGATAATGTGCATACCTTGTTTTCCCCGTTTGATATCTATGGACCGACGCCCTCCAGCTGTTGTTATCAACAAGAAACTCAAAGGAATAGAGATAATTTTTGAGCCGAAGATGAAGCACTTGAGGTATGTCATCGCACCACCTGAGGAGGTTGATGGTATGCCTGCTTGGTATCTCGTCAACATCCGACATTATCAACAAATCATCATCCGAAATCCCGGCGATTTTGAGAAGCTGATCCAACGCTACTCGCTGCAAAGCCTCCTCAACAAATGGATTTTCCCCTTTCTTAAACCTTCCTCCGATTGTCCCATAAGTCAACCGGGGCTCAACAAACTTGAATTTGTCTCGATTGCTAGCAAAAACCATAGGCTTTGGAATCCCGGTGAATGTCGAATTAGACTCAAGAAGAACAAACTGAGTAACATAGGGGTACAACTCCTGCCACCGTAGAGTAAGAATATCAACCTCATTACTAAACAATACCGCATCATAAACCCGTCTCGGAAATTCACGAACACCCCAACCATGAAGTCTGCAGAGCTTCTCCATCGACACATTCTCGTGGTAATAATGCGGGATATCATGGAAAGGCTTGGGTGGCGATTCCCATAGCGGCCGGAGAAAGTATGAGATCTTCTGACCATGAACATATATACCAAATATGCACGTCGGAATCAGAACAAACATGAAAATATAAGTTTTCAAATCGATGCCTCGCAGTATACAACGGATTCTCGACATGCTCAGCCGGCTTGATTCCTGTAGCATACAGAAAAATACCATATTAATTTTAATCAAATTCAAAGTAAAATTTCAACCAAGGCAATCCGGATACATCAATGACTAGTATAAATCTAGAAGGAGAAATCTAGAACAAAAAAGCATTGGAATAAATGCAGCGTATAGCAATTTCAGATTCTTAGAAAAGTATGATAGAAGCTAAAAAAGTATATATATAGGCGCGCACACACACACGCGTATATATGAAAGCAGTAGATTCCATTCAAACAATCAATCGAACACCTTAAAAGCAAGCTAAAAGCTTTGTAAAAACAAAGTCCCCAAATTAAACAAAATATTTAAATCTGAAGAGTTTCAGATCTTTAACAAATCAACAGGCAAAAACTCTCAATCCCCAAATCAAAAGAAAAGACTAATCAGCTAACTTATAGATTAAAAAAATTACCAAAGATTCAAAATTTTTGAACCCCATTGATTTCCCTCACATTCACCACGAAAGATCAACACCCATAAATCGAAACATAGAAATAGAGAGATCAAAGGAGTAAAGTACCTGCCCACAAACATCTCCACAGAGATCATCAGATTTCTTCGAACAATACTGCCCTCCTCCTTCATTCATCATCCACCACATTTTTTCCCAATAAAAGTAAAGAATAAACCCCAAAAAAGAGAGATCTTTTAGCTGGAAGCTGAAGAACACACGTAGATCAACCACTAGAAAAAAAGTAACTCTCTAGATCTCCGGCTCTCCACAACTTTTCTCCTCCGACGGTTACCAAAAGAAAGACGCTGAATTCTTAATGGGAAAGAAAATTGACAGAAATATGGAGATTTAATAGTTAGTTTATACGACCCAGAAATTAAATTTTAAAAAAAATGAAGAACTGAGTCTTTGTCTATCTGTGAATTGGCGACACTTGCTGATATTCAATAAAAAAAATGGAGGAAAATGGTGATAATGGCCTCTCCTCTTGTCGTCTACTTCTGTTCTTCTTTCCGCAAGATGCTATATATATATTTTTTACATTTTCAGCTGCGTTTACTACTTTGCCCTTATGGTTTTACTTCGTGGCTAAGTCACGGGTGTTATGGCGAGGGTATGTTTGGGAATTATGGGATTAAAACAGGTGTTGTCGGACCGGGTTTTTCTGCGCGTTGGAAAATTGGGAAATTGACGGGCTCGGATCGGCAAGACGAAAACGTCTTTGGATTTTACTAGGGACACACACGTGGTTCTCACATGTTAGTTTGAGCCGAGTCTTTTAATGCACGCGCTTTAGTGATTTTTGCCTTTTTGGACTAAGTTGCAAGCTAATTTGTGATTAGGTCCTTTAGTGCACAAGTTTGATAGCGTCAATACAGATGTATTTTTTAAGCCGAAATATTATTTTTAAAAATTGTTTTTACTCGGAAATATTTTTTATTTGGGTAAATTACGTATTTAGTACTTAAACTATCAATTTTGTTCCTTAACTTTGAATTTTTTTTAAAACATACATAATGTTTAGTTTTGTTTCATTTTAATACCTATGTTCAAAATTCAACGTTAAATTTTGAGAAAAATAAAAAATTAGGTACTAAAACAGACCAAAATAGATATTTTAGGTATTAAACACGTTAAGTTTTTAACGGTGAAATACTAAAATGAAACAAAAACTAAATGTTAAGTATAGTTTTGAAAAAATTAAAAGTTTAGATACTAAATCTGATATTTTAGGCACTAAAATACGTAGTTTACCCTTTCTATTTTTATGGTATTTTTATTTATCATTATAATAATTTAATATTTTGTATTGTATACATTACTATACAATATATCTACTAATCAAGAAAAATCGATGATCTTATATAGTTAGATTTTCTTTTGTGACAGTTTATCGATATATTTAATACCGTTATTGAAATAATCTATCAAATTTATTTTATTAATCTTCATATCTACATCAATATTGTGTCTAACTTAAAATAAAGACATAAAAATGATTAATAATTGCTAATCTTATGTAGAAGATAAAATATGTATTTAAAGAAAAAAATTATTTTTATTTTTTATACTCTTTAAAATTTTATGTATCTTATATTTTTATTTAATAAAAATATAATTTTATTTTAAGAAATATATATTTTAATTAAAAATATTTATGAAAAACTCCTTACCCCTTGTATTTACATCTAAGATAGAAGAACACCAAACATATTGAAAACTATTTAATTTTTATTTAATAATAGTAAATTGAAAATAGGTGATGGTCCTACCATGAGGGTGTCCCTTAAGGACCTACCCCTTGCTGAGCTGCACATGGTTTTAAACTTTTAATAATTGAAATTATATCCCCAGTTGCTCTCACTCACCTATTATTATAATAGTATATTATTAAATCCAAGGTAAATTTTGCACTTAGCACTTAAATTATTAGTTTTTATCCATTTTAGTATCTAAATTTTTAATTTTTAAAAATTATACTTAAAGTTTAGTTTTTATTTTATTTTAGTCCGTTCAAAATTTAATGTTAAGTTTGAAAATTTAGGTGCTAAAACAGACCAAACTAATAATTTAGGTACTAATTGCGTTAAATTTTTAACGGTGGAGTATTAAAATGAAACAAAAACTAAACGTTAGGTATGGTTTTGAAAAAATTGAAAGTTTGGGTACTAAAACGAACCAAAATTAATAGTTTAGATACTAAATGTATATTTTAACAGTATTTGTTCAAAAATAACTCTCATCATATGACATTGAACTTTCACACCCCTATCATATATGGTGCTCGAACATGCGTCCTCAATGAATAACAACAATTCCTTTACTACGGAGTCCATTTGGTTCGTACATTAATCTCTATTTTTTACGTTACCAAGAATTAAAAAAAAAAATCAATGTTTGGTGTTTGGTATTTGACTTCGATACATAGGTAAACCATAATGGAGGGAGTCCCTAAAACTTTTGATAAATCTTTTAACATTTAAAAAAACAATAATTTGGATTCTTATTTTAAAAAAATATTATTACTTTTATTATTATTATTTGAACTTAGAAACTTATCAGACCAACATCGTGTTTGGCATGAATTTGTGTTCCTTGTGTAATTGTTTTTGTGCAGAGTGAAAAAAAAATCTCTTTTATTTTCTTAAAATAGGGGGGAAACTAAATTAGGAAAACCCCAAGTTATCTAGTTTGTTTACATGTCGCCAATTTTATTTTATATTATATATTTTATATATAATTTTGACTAGGGATGACAACTCAACCCGAACCCGACAGGTTCCGACCCGACCCGATCGGGTCGGATTTTAAAAATAATTCGGGGTCGGGTTGAGTCAGGTTTTTTTAATGTACTGTTCGGGTCGGGTTTAGGGTGAAAAAAATCCGACCCGACCCAACCCGAAAAATATATATAATTTTATCTATATATTT